TAGATAGATAGATAGATAAATAGATAGATAGATAGATAGATAGATAGATAGATAGATAGATAGATAGATAGATAGATAGATAGATAGATAGATAGATAGATAGATAGATAGATAGATAGATAGATAGATAGATAGATAGATAGATAGATAGATAGATAGATAGATAGATAGATAGATAGATAGATAGAGAGAGAGAGAGAGAGAGAGAGAGAGATAGAGAGAGAGATAGATAGATAGATAGATAGATAGATAGATAGATAGATAGATAGATAGATAGATAGATAGATAGATAGATAGATAGATAGATAGATAGATAGATAGATAGATAGATAGATAGATAGATAGATAGATAGATAGATAGATAGATAGATAGATAGATAGATAGATAGATAGATAGATAGATAGATAGATAGATAGATAGATAGATAGATAGATAGATTAGATAGATAGATAGATAGATAGATAGATAGATAGATAGATAGATAGATAGATAGATAGATAGATAGATAGATAGATAGATAGATAGATAGATAGATAGATAGATAGATAGATAGATAGATAGATAGATAGATAGATAGATAGATAGATAGATAGATAGATAGATAGATAGATAGATAGATAGATAGATAGGTAGATAGGTAGATAGATAGATAGATAGATAGATAGATAGATAGATAGATAGATAGATAGATAGATAGATAGATAGATAGATAGATAGATAGATAGATAGATAGATAGATAGATAGATAGATAGATAGATAGATAGATAGATAGATAGATAGATAGATAGATAGATAGATAGATAGATAGATAGATAGATAGATAGATAGAGAGAGAGAGAGAGAGAGAGAGCGTGCTGCATGGACAACAGGTAGGCTCCACATTACTGGCCAGGCCTTGTGCTCGGGAGAGGTTTAGGGTGTGACTCTCATGTATCCTAGTAGTAAAATATAACATTATCATCTGGAAAAACGGAAAAGTGCTAAGAGAACAATGTGAATGTTTGTGTATCCAAAGGTGGTTTGTAGTTGGTTAAAAAAACAAAAACAAAAATTCACATTACATGTAAAAACCGTCTACCACAGAATTGTTGGACCTCGGGCAATAGTTACGCTCCCCCCCCCCCCCCTGAATCCCCACCCCTACCGCGACCAATTTGTGGTTTCTACTTTAGAAATTACAGTAAAACTCCGATTAACCGCCACTAGTTTACCTATCAGTTTCTGTTATCCGTGACATCTTTAAAAAAAATGCCTCAGTGTCAACAAAAAGGTATCTTTAATATTACGCAAGAATTACATTAACCCCACTGTATCCGAGGCATGGCGTCCGCCCTGAGTGCTGAGGTCCCGGGTTCAGGCCCCGATGAATCCTGGATTTTTTTATGTGGACTTCTGGTAATTTCCCCCTGGTCTCTGGGTAGTTAGATCAGACGCCCGTATGTATTGTTGCGCAGGTAAAAAAATCCCTTGGTAGTTCGAAATTAAAAAATAGTAGCCTAACGGCGCAGCCCGGGCAAAATTTTGAGTTAAAAATCTACCCAAAGTATTTCATGATCCTCGCTACGGAGTTCGTGCACTGCAGTAAGATTATTGGGACTCAGGCTTGAGTTAGAAGTAGAACAGACCATTTATGCGTTACTACCCTTGTGCCATGATGTTGATCAATTATTTATAAAAATCGAAAACCTAAACTTGCAAACAAATACTTGATACGAGATCACAGCAGCTAGGTCTGAAAATCCATAAAGGAAATACAAAGATAATGAGAATAAATCAGGCAAATAGTAATGTGGTTTCTCCTAATGGCATCCTAATCGAAGACTGGGAATCGTAAGCCTATTTGGGCATAAATGAAGATGATAATTCTGAAACTGATAGAGATATTAAAAAACGAATACAAAAGGTAAAAGAAGCTTTCATAGCACTAGGAAATTTGTGGAGGTCAAAATAAATTGCGAGAAATACACAACTTAAAATTGCTAATTCTAATGTCAAATCAGTACTGTCGTATGGTGCGGAAACATAAAGAACAACTAAGGCAATTACTAATAACAGATTGCACAATTTATTGCCTGGCATATTTCACCCTACCTCGTCAGGTGCATACTATAGTAACAATTACATAAATGAAGCAAATAAAAACAGGCAGTCATGTTTGATCGTTGTTGAAACTGTACTTTAGTTATAAGGGATTCACTTATTTGTTTCATTTATGTAATTGTTATTATAGTATGCACCTGACGAGATACAGCGAAATAAGCCAGGTAATAAATTGTACAATCTATTGTTTGTGTCTTCTTTGTTCAAATTTACAACGGGGAAACATTGCTTTAATTACTAATAAACTACCGACATTCATTAACTGGTGCCTGTGCAGAACAGAGGTAATTAAATGGTATGATAGTATCACTAATATAGAGAAAACCGAAAAACGATATAACTAGAATGTTTGTACCAGAACCCACAAGGAAATAGGAATAAAGGGGGAAAAAAACAAGGAGAAGGGAGCTGGAGAGTAAAGGTAAAAAGAAAGTTATGTTGAGTGCTGCATGCGATAGCAAAGACTAGAACTACTTGTCATAAGTTTGTTGACGGCCTATGCTCCATTGGGGGATGGAAAAGCAGAAGAAGAGAAAGAAGTATCTAGCTAGAAGCGACTGTACTTTATGATGAAACAATGTCACACAAGTACGCCAACTGCTTTGAAATACGAAAGGCAAGTACAATACAGATCCGGCTTCTCTTATATTGAAGTTTATATAGATTGTTGGCTATGCTCCGAATAACGGGCACATATTCTGGCGGCCAAAAACAGGGCCTCAGTCACATGTAAATTGCGAACTCCCGGCGACTTAATTTGTGAACTTCCGACGATTACCGCCACCGCCGAGAGTATCCCCCAAGCCGCTCAAGCGGCGTGGATTGGGGCTAAACCAGATGGCTGGGAATCACGAGCAAAGCTGCAGGAGATACGGAAGCTGCTGCTCGTGAGTCCCAGCATCTAGTTTAGGTCTGATCCACGACGCGTGAGCGGCTTGGGGGATACTATCGGCGGTGGCGGTAGTCACCGGAAGTTCGCAAATTTAATCACGTGACTGAGGCTCGGTTAGGGTGTTTTTGCGGCCGCAATAATATGTACCCGTTATTCGAAGGATAGCCTGATTGTTTTGTAATACAGGTTTATGTTATAGCCATACATTTCCGTACATTACTACTCTTTTACTGAAGTTAATATTGATTGTTTTGTAACTTACATTTATAGTATAGCCGTATATTTCGTACATTACTACTCTTTTACTGAAGTTTATACTGATTGTTTTGTAACTTACATTTATAGTATAGCCGTATATTTCCGTACATTACTACTCTTTTACTGAAGTTTATATTGATCGTTTTGTACAGTTTAATACAATATGTATGCATTATTCAATTTTAAAGTACAGTGGAACCTCGCTTAACGAGCATAATTCGTTTCAGAATCATACTCGTAAAGCGAAACACTCGTTATGCAAAACAATTTTTCTCATATAAATTATTTTAAAATACGATAATTCGTTCCATGTTGTAAAAAATACTCACAAAATGCTATGCATTACGTTTATTCACAGGAAATTTTATAAATATTGTTAAGGAGAGTGAATCATCTTCATCTTTTCTTCAAACGCGGAACAGCCCACATGGAATGCGAATTCGATTTGCAGAAAAAAAGTCGAAATAATTATGATAAATAGCTAATTATTTTTTTTTTTACCAGAAAGAGGTCCAGAAACATTTGTTTTTGCCGACGCTTCAACATTTGGCGAATATGCGACACAGCATTATCATTAAATACATTTGCAGCGCGCATAGCCACTTCCTTATTAGGGTGACGCTTCTCAATGTAAGATGCAACAGTTTGCCATGCTTTCAGCATTTCTCTTATTTCGCCAGAAGATTGTTGCTTGTCTGCTACCTCCTCTTCCTCCTCTGACAAACTTTCCTCCAAAACTTCTTGCTGTGAAACACAATGCAACTCCATAAGCTCTTCGGTGGTCAGCTTTTGGCTGTGCTCTTCCACAAGCTCTTTGATATCACTATTATCCACCTCTAATCCCATAATAGTGGCCAAAGACACAGTCTCGTTGACTACAGGTTCCACAGGTATTGTCTCGAACCCCTTAAAGTCACAAATCGACAACGCTCTCCGGTCAAAGCTTCTTCCAAGCAGAAGTTAGGGTTCTCTTGGTAACCCCTTTCCCTGCCTTGTCGATCATCTTGAGGCAGGCAGCGATGTGGAAGTGATTTTTCCAAAACTCTTTGAGAGTGAGGTAGGTCCCTTCAGTCACCTGAAAACAATGATCGAAGAGTGCTTTGGTGTAGAGCTTTTTGAAGTTAGAAATAACTTGCTGGTCCATGGGCTGGAGTAACGGAGTGGTGTTGGGAGGCAGAAACTGGATCTTGATGAACTTTAATTCTTCAGAGAGGTCATCTTGTAAGCCTGGAGGATTCATCTACATATATCACAATATAACACAAGTTTGAGAAAATATGTGATCACAAACGACACTACAATGCTACTGGAACGAGTGCTAAACACACACTAAACTAACATGCGCACAGTCCAGGACTTCCCCTCTCCTCGCCACTCGTTATGCGAAACGTCGCTTGTTAAGCAAATCATTTTTTTACAATTTGTTTTGCTCGTTATGCGAATTACTCGTTATGAGAGGTGCTCGTTAAGCGAGTTTCTACTGTATCTGACTTTCATGTTTTGTCACAAGGCAGCAGTGAAATCACATTACTGTATATATCTATTAAAAGATCTCGATTATCCGCCTGTTTGCTTGTTTGTGAAAATCCTTGTTGGGAAGGTGACTGTTAATCAAAAGTTTTACTGTAATGGAAATTTGACTCTTTGAGTGTCAACGTGAAGAGAAATTTCGAAGTTAAAAACAGCAGGTATTTCTAATTTCTCACAAGAACCGATAATTATTAACGGTTGTTGACACATGATTAGAGATGGATACTGGCATTGACGAAGACTAAGGGCCGTTTTTTTTTTTTTTTTTTTTGTAATGTAAGACGCAGTTCTTACTTCTGTATGTCAAGTAAATCAGTAATTAATAGGGTATAGCGTTGTTAATCATGTCAATTTGGCAGAACCTTCAGTCTCGTGAACTTTCAATCAGTTTTGACACACATGATCTTTCATAGTCCATGTTGTGTGGCGTTGGTAGTCATTTCTATTCACAAACTTTTCTCTCGAGTACTTTCAGTCAGTTCTGACACATATGATCTTTCATAGTCCATGTTGTGTGGCGTTGGCAGTCATTTCTATCCACAAACTTTTTTCTCGAAAACTTTCAATCAGTTCTGACACATATGATCTTTCATAGTCCATGTTGTGTGGCGTTGGCAGTCATTTCTATCCACAAACTTTTCTCTCGAGTACTTTCAATCATTTCTGACACATATGATCTTTCATAGTCCATGTTGTGTGGCGTTGGCAGTCATTTCTATCCACAAACTTTTCTCTCGAGTATTTTCAATCAGTTCTGACACAGATGATCTTTCATAGTCCATGTTGTGTGGCGTTGGTAGTCATTTCTATTCACAAACTTTTCTCTCGAGTACTTTCAATCAGTTCTGACACATATGATCTTCCATAGTCCATGTTGTGTGGCATTGGCAGTCATGTCTATCCACAACCTTCTCTCTCGAGTACTTTCAATCAGTTCTGACACATATGATCTTCCATAGTCCATGTTGTGTGGCGTTGGTAGTCGTGTCTATCCACAACCTTCTGTCTCGTGTACTTTCAATAAATTATATCACAGATTATCTTCCACGCCATGTCTAGAATCTTCTCTCGGTCTCCATCTGCCTCTTTTTTCCTCCAGCTTTCCAACCACCACTTTCTTCTCCAATTTTCTTTTTCTCACGACAAAACCTAAGAATGTTGATTGTCTACTTCTGGTGTGGGCAATCAGTTCTCCTAGTTAGTACATCTTTTTTTTCTGTCCTGGGTATTCTCCTGGGTATTGTTGTCAAAAACAATACTGCAGGGCCCAGTAGAGGGAAAGAGGAGAAGAGGCCGACCAAGAAAGACCTGGTTACAGAACTTGACTGACTGTACAGGCCTCAGGCATGCAACCATAAAGTTGATCAAACAGTCAACAGAAACTGGTGACCCAACGACACGCAGTGTTACAGGATGATGATGATAATTATGGGTATTCTCACTATTCGTCTATAAAACCACATCTACGCTTCTTCCAAATATTTTTTCACTTGTCTAAATGTCCATGATTCCCTTCTGTATATCCGAAAATGATTTAAACACAACTCTTGCAACTCAGCTACTGTTGTCTAAATTACGGCGAAGCGGCATGCTGCCAAACTACTTGCCGATGACTTCTAAACTTGGTATGTCCAGATTGTGAATCTGCCCTCACAAAAGTAAGCTACAGACCTTTCCATATCCAACAGACAGACAAAACAGGACATTGGAAATAGGGGTGGGGGTTGGCTGGTACGGCTAGTACTGTCGCTACACATTGGTTAGATTGTGTATGTGTGTGTATGTGTGTGTGTTTGTGTGTGTGTGCCATCGACAGAAAAAAAAATTCCATGACCTCACCAAAGACTCAAACCCTTGTCTCCCGTATGAAAGCAAGCCCTCTCAATTGTTCGGTCAGTCTCATTGAACTACTGAATTTATTTCATTGTGTACTTACATCAAATAATAAAACATTTAAATAAAAACATATTTAAAAAAAAACACATACAATTATAAACGGAATGAAGAAATCACATACTTGTACAATGTATATAAAACTTTATCGGTTCTCTGAATAATAAACTTAGCAAGTTCTATTTCATTTTTCAAATTTCAATTTTTTAGAACAATCGCAAGTCTATAGGTGATGTTGTCACCCGGATGTAGCCCCCTTTACTTCTTAGGACATTACCCGATACCCATTTTAGTTTTGGTAGCCCTAAGAGGCAAGGTCACTATTGCAACAACAACAAAATCTCTCGATGCGAATTTGAACCACCAACCTTCCGGTCGGCAGACAAGTGTCAAACACTTTTCTACTGCGGCTTCCGATAGTGGTAATTTTAATGAAATAATTACTTATTTAATTAATCATATTCATTCAGTAGCATGTCCCTCGCGGAACCTCGCTGCCATAACAACCCTCCGGAAAACCTTCCTATCATGAGCAAGATGTCCTGCGTCTGATACACCCATCTGGAGATCATCTGCCACATCCTGCACCCATCTTCTCCTTGGCCTTCCTCTTCCTCTCTTCCCAGGCATATACCCCTCCATTATTGTTCTCTCTAGACTTCCATGACGTTTCAAGTGACCAAAATATTTCAATTTTCTTTGTTTTATTGTCTTTACTAGCCAACTCTCTTCAATATTCAGCTCTTGAAGTATGGATGCATTTGTTCTATTTAATTAATCATATTAGTAATAATAATATCATCATTGTCCCGTAACAGTGAATGTGGTTAGATCAATTTTTTGTTTACTGTGTGATGAGCTCCCTCCACCTTTGATGGTCATCTGCAATGGACTTCGTTGGTGCATTTCTCAGACCTGTCCAGTCAGTCAGGTTCGGTATCCAGATCTTTCTTGGTCTGCTTCTTCTCCTCTTCCACTCTAATGAGCCCTGTAGTATTGTTTTTGAGAGGCGGTTAGATCTTATTACATGTGTGTGCCATTGTATTGCATTTTCCGTCTTTTCACTGTAGCTAAAAGAGATTCATGGTTAATGTGATTAAAGAGATTCATAGGTACTTGTATGCTAGGTAATTATACTGCTAAACTCATCATTTGTGACGGGGTCTATGAATAAAAGATCGTATTTCTAATGCTTCTATTATTTTTGTTTTTCGAGTTTAGCTGTCAAGGTCCATGTTTCACAGCCATATGTAAATGTAATAATAACTAGTGCTCTGCGCAATCATAGCTTTGTTTTACGTGAAATGTTTTTTGGATCTCTATAATATTTGCTGTTTGGCAAGGACTGATGGTGTCTGGGCAGTCCTATACATAATTTTTTGTTTCTTTTCAAATCAGGTCTCTGACAATGGAATCCCATATTAAAAATTCAGCCATAAAAATGAGCATTTGCAGTGCTACAAAGTAAACATTAGATAAAAGCCGTGTGTGAACAACTTCAGAAGAGATGGATGCTGGGATACTACAAGCTCTGAAGACGGTGAAGAACAACCCGTACGTTCAGTATGTGGGGTTGGGTCTTGCTGCGCTGATTGCCCAGAAGGACAGGCAGGACTCCACCGGCGCTCCGTTGAGGAAAACTAAACTTGAATTGATACGCATCAGTGCTGCTGTTTCTGGGATAGAGCTGTGCTATGCTGCAGAGACTGCCTTCGTGAGTCCAATCTTGTTAAAGTTGGGCGTACCTACGTCACTCATGACCTTGACATGGTGCCTGAGTCCGTTTCTGGGGTTCTTTCTTGTGCCCGTTATGGGATCCTTGAGTGACAGATGTCAGTCAAAATTCGGGAGAAGACGTCCTTTCATCGTGTTCATGTCAGTGGGCATAATCTTAGGTTTGGCGCTCGTCCCAAACGGCGAAGCTTTGGGACTTCTGCTTGGGGATAGCATAAACGACACGATCTCATCTCTAAACAGCGTTGCTCCACCCACTGAGCTCAATCAGACAGAGATATTTATGAATTCCACAACGACAGCCCCATTTTCTCTTCCTACAGGACATGTCAGAGGTATAATATTCACAATCCTGGGCGTGGCAATGCTAGACTTCAACTGCGACGCCTGTCAATCTCCATGTCGGGCGTATCTATTGGATGTCAGCGTACCCGATGACCATCCTACTGGTCTGACGACTTTCACTGTCATGGCTGGTGCTGGAGGATCTATTGGCTACATCATGGGCGGTATAGACTGGAACTCCACCAACTTCGGAGAAGCTCTAGGGGGACACATCCGGGTCGTATTCTCCATTGTTCTATTCGCTTTCATTATTTGTGTCATTTCAACCTTGACGTCATTCAAAGAGATACCTCTATCAGAAATGAATTTGACACCAGATTTGCAAGCGAGTAAAGTTAAAGTAGGTAAATCTAAATACCGACAATTTACAAACGAGGACTCGTCGCCCGATGACAGCGAAATAAACAAAGCTGCCATTTTGGAGAAAGATGTAAAATCTTCATATGGCACTTTGTCTGGTAAACAAAACGCATCCTCAGTCTCCGCAAATGGAGCAGAATTTAATCGTCAAGGAGGATTTCGTGCATTAAGTGACGCGCATTGTTGTAGACAGAAGGATCCAACGGTTGTCAACGAAGGCGGATTTGAGAACGGTAAACCCAATCAGAAACAAGGTGTTCAGGAGTTTATCTTCCCAACATCAGTGAACCAAAACTACCCAACTACAAACGGTCAAGATAATAAACTCTTCAACAGCTTTTCTCAACATCAGAGTAACAATATACCAACGGCAGCATTAACTTCTTGTATCCCTCATTCTCTAAACACGCATGAAGGACCTAACGGTGGATATTCCAATTTGCTGGTACAATCGGACAAACATGATTCTGCAAACTACCCACACGAACCATCTAAACTGTCACATAAAGATTCCTCCAAATTCCGAAATGTATTTTCTCCAGGAGCGAATCAAAACAAAGATGAAATTAACTTGCACGCGAAATACAGTGCAAGCCAAGCCAACAGCAGCACACAAACGATGGACATTGCGGTGAGAAAGGTTGAAGTTTCGACGGATGTAACACTCAAAACCTACCTACGGTCTATCGTCAGGATGCCGAGATCGATGTGGACTTTGTGTCTATGTAACCTCCTGTGCTGGATGTCACTCGTTTGTTACTCTCTCTACTTCACTGACTTTGTGGGTTTGTGGTTTTCTTTATTTAGTTTAAAGATCAGACGTTGACTAGAGTCATTTTCAGCCAGACCATTTACCGTAATATTTAGACAATAAGAGAATTATCATTATGTTTTTTTTTAAGCATTAACACTGATAAATGGATAGTGTGAAAGATTCAGACAAACAGATAAAAAGACGAATGTAATCAGAAAACAGACGGAGAAATAGACAGACAGGCAGAAATACAGAAAGACAGATGGACGAAAGGACGGACGGACAGACAGGCAGACGACCAGACCAGACCAGACCAGACCAGACCAGACCAGACCAGACCAGACGGATAGATGGATAGATAGATAGATAGATAGATAGATAGATAGATAGATAGATAGATAGATAGATAGATAGATAGATAGATAGATAGATAGATAGATAGATAGATATATATAGATAGATAGATAGATAGATAGATAGATAGATAGATAGATAGATAGATAGATAGATAGATAGATAGATAGATAGATAGATAGATAGATAGATAGATAGATAGATAGATAGATAGATAGATAGATAGATAGATAGATAGATAGATAGATAGATAGATAGATAGATAGATAGATAGATAGATAGATAGATAGATAGATAGATAGATAGATAGATAGATAGATAGATAGATAGATAGATAGATAGATGTTTAGACAGACAGAAACCGTGGTAGACATAGAAACAGACATCCAGACAGACAGAAACCGTGGCAGACGCAGAGACACACATCCAGACAGACACATACACACAAACAGACATCCAGACAGACTCATACACACACAGACACACAGGCTGACATCCAGACAGACACATACACACAGACAGACATCCAGACAGACACACAGACAGACACCCAGACAGACACACAGACAGACATCCAGACAGACACATACACACAGACATACATCCAGACAGACACAGACATCCAGACAGACACACAGAGAGCACCCAGACAAACACAAACACACAGAGAGACATACAGATAACACCCAGACAAACACAGACACACAGAGAGACACACATATAACACCCAGACAAACACAGACACACAGAGAGAGACACAGACAACACCCAGACAAACACAAATACACATAAAGACACACAGACAACAGACAGACAACACACTGACAACACACAGACAACACACAGACAACAGACTGACAACAAACACATCTGATCATCGTTGTGACGTCACTCTGACAGGTCAGTCCGTGTTCGGAGGAAACCCTCAAGCTCCCGCCGGAAGTGACCTCCACAAAAGATACGACGCGGGAGTCCGGCTGGGATCCCTGGGGATGTCCCTGTACTCACTGTCCTGCGCCTGCTACTCGCTGACCATCGAGCGGCTGGTTCAACGATTCAGTAAGTCGCACATCCCAGCAGATGCCATTGTTTATTTGTACCCAACTTGTTCTATCATTCAGGTACGCAACAAACATCAACCTAAACGAGAAGAACTATCAGCCTAACACCCCCCCCCCTCCCCTACCTCCATCCAGGCCTATCTGCCCTTCCCCTCACCACTAGAAACAAATTTAATTGCGTATTCGTTAACGAATTGTAAAACTGGCGAAACGGGGGCTGCATGCGGCCCTTTAGCAAGCACATCTGTGGCCCTCAAAAAGGAAATATTCTGCAAACTCGTTTTTATGAAATGACCCCAGTTGGTTACCGTGTGTGGCCCTCCTGACAACACAAATATCACCCATATGCCCCCCCCCCCCCAGAACCTTAGTGATTTCCCAAGGCAATACAGTTCAGTATTTTGCCATTGTTTACCTAAGGTCGGTTCTCGATACTACTGTCGAAACCAGTGCAAAATGTTATGGTGCCAAATCGCCAGCAGCTGGGGTCGATCAGGGCACCACAGAATTACAAAGCGAAAGCCTCAGTCACAGATGCCGACCATGATCAGGAAGGACAAAATGAAAAATTGCAACAAGAAAGCCGGGTAATCTTAGTGTCAGCTTCATAACCAACGGGTCACCCCATTGTTGCTTCGCTTCTGTACCAACGAAAAAAGAAAATAAAATGTCCATGACTGTCTCTTGTAGAAAAATTTATATAGACTGCAGTCTCAGCATTTCCACTAGCATACACACGCATTAAAAGCATAAGGCAGCAATTAGAAGGACTATAAACAATTCGACAGTAGAAATGCAATTCGTCATCGTAGTTACAAACATTTCAGCAGTTGCAAACGCGATCAATTTTAACAATATAAGGCACCACTAATTCTGTGCAAACAGGCTAATCGCTATCTTCTGAATCTGGAGTTCACAGCACCTCATTGATCACAACCGAAAAACGTGCACAGTTCATAGTGTCGTGTCGTGCACTCAGCTCAGTAGTTGAGTGATAAAACTATAGCCTTTCAGTCAATAAACTGGGGAAAATGCAACGGCCACAGTATGTCGAAGAAACAGCAAAAATTGCCTAGACTTCTTCTTCGCGTTCACCAGTTGTAAACTTCGGTGTAAGTTCTGGTTGTTTATCCACTTCTGGACTGCAGTCCTGTTCCAGAACATGTGTGTTGCGAATGCATCCGTTTTACAAAATTGACTCATTTGTATGCAGACTGCTGGTTCCTTGCCTCTCAGGCAGATGCATTCCGACTTTGGAGAAAGCTCCCAATTAGTCGGCTCTTACAACATGCTTTTGGGTAGGCAGTGGGTCTGTTCTTGTTTTCCCTATGATAGAGCCCCGGAACCCACACGGGGAATCGCCTCGACTAAACAAACAGTGACCATGCCTATCCTCAATTTCGACCGGAAGTCAAGAAAGCCTTTGTCAGCACATAAAATAGGCGTACAAAATCACTTAGTTTTACGGTGAGGCTGGCCCCAAAGTATCCACCCTCGCTCGAATGGCAGAAGCTGTGCAAACATGTTTCGTAGCAGGCGTATTCGATACTGTACATGAAGTTCTGCCCCCTATCATAAAAAGAAAAATCAAATTGCGAAAGATAGGAGGAAAAGGTAGAAAATGGTAAGAAAAAGTTTTTTCAGCTTTACAAACCAATAACAATAAACAAACACAGGACGTTGCGGCGATTAGCCCTGACCAGCAGAACAAAAAGAAACGAAATGCAACACGCACCCACAAATTAATTGACTGAAATAACAGTACGGTATTCAGATATTTTGTAAACAAATAAAACGAAACAATAATTAACTGTAGAATTATACAAAGTATGTAATGAGAATGAAACCAACGATGCCAGCATCAAGAGCATACAACATGAAAATTGAAACATCAAGAGGTAGGGGAAGACCAAGAAGAAGATGGATTGAAGAAGTCACGGACAACTTGAGACTTCATAACATCACGGCATATGAAGCGACTGAGCGCGCCCTGGCTCGGTTGCCGATCATCTGATAGACTGCGACGCCTAGCGGCACAAGCAGATTTTGACAAAAGAAGAATATGTAATACTTACTTGGACCAATCTGACATGTATAAAGAACAAAAGTAAAGTAGGCGTCGCTTTTACAGAGGAGCGAGGAAGCGAAACATGAAAATTGATCAGTTGAAGTAAAGGGCGCTGGAGATATGTTACCACAACTGTGTGGCTAGCCTGCTTCCTGCAACCACCTACCCCCCTTCCTGTTTTTCTCCTTTTTGCCTCTTTAAGGAAGATATGTTCGAATCTCCATCCGTGAGTAATCTGAAATGGACCTAGAGTTCCTGGTCAGCGTAAAAACATGCCTACCAGAGACTGATCTGCGATATAAAGGCAGCATGTGTCATATTGACCAGTTTACTCATCGAGCACTAATGCTTTGATTCTTCTTTGGCTCGTCTGTAAAATTAGGCATAGGTGAACCAGTCCGTGTGAAGTCATGGTAAAGATAGGTGCTGAAATGTGAAACAAACCAATTTTTTCTTCTTTTGCGCTAATCCGAAGATGTAACTGCGTTGTGCTCGTTTACAACATGTTTGCGATATTTAAGCCTTTCGTCTTCCAAGTCGGACTTTTTCAGGTGAAGTAGCCGTGGCGTAGCGGCTAGACGCTCGCGTGCGGATCGGAAGGTCATGGGTTCGCTCTCTGGCGGAGCCGGACTTTTTTCCAAAATGACCTTGACTCCCAGGTCGACCCTGCCTTGAGTTGGTACCGGGCACAGTCCCGGGAAGTGAAGGCGGTCGGCGTGGTGCTGACCACATCACCCATCTTGTGCCGATTGGTCAATACAAATTTAGGTCTAGTCCTATATGCCATATACGCCTAAAGGCGTGGAAAAGGGACAATTTTTACTTTTATATGTATACCGGTAGTTATTTTAAAAACTCCGTGCAACACATTGCTGCCGTAATGTGTAGCAAATATCGTACATGTAAATATATTTCCCGGCTAGGCGATTTCTCTGTTAACGTTTTATGCGTTTGTGGCAACCTCATAACTAACGGTCAACAGGACAATACGTGAATAAATATGCGATTAAGGTTTGCAACCTCACACGATGACAAAAATCACAGATCATGACATGTGGTCAAGTAAGTAAGTAAACGATCCTGTTCAACCAGTGGTGTATCTGACACTTCGCCCTAACATTATTATTATTTTTTTTTTTTTTTTGACCAATCGGCACTCGATGGGTTTTGTGGACAAAATCACACAGGTTCTGCTTTTCTCGTTTATTTGTCTGTCTTTTGGGTTTGATTTGTGCTGTGTGTAATTGTGGGAGTTCTCTTGTTTTCTTATGTAATGGTTTTCTTCCAGAAGTATTGTGTCATGCCTTTCTTACCTTGAAATCTTATCATCGTTTACGTGCTTATTGAGTGTCCATCTACTTCTGTTGTGGAGTTCTTGTAATAGGTCTATCTATCTTATTAGGGTTATATTTTTTAGTATGTTTACACTAACGACTCCTTGATGCCTTTGTCCTAACAGGAGCCAAAAGAGTCTACATGCTGGGACAGCTTGTGTTTACAGTAGGAATGGCTGGGATGGCTATCTCTCGCAGTGAAGTCGCTGTGATTCTACTGTCGCCAACTGCTGGGATCATGTACGCCACACTCTTCACCATGCCCTACCTGCTGGTGGCTCACTACCACACGCGTGGACTGGTAGGTTCTTCTGTCTTCAGTTAACGTTTCTTTGGATTGGCAATATTGTTTCTTTTAGTGGTGCTGTTCACGGTAACCGTGACGTTGACCTTTCATTCATAGCTTCTTTGACTCTTCTGGGTCACAGGGGTGTGAGTCTATTCCTGCCAGGACATCTCACGGAATGGCGCAACGAACAGGGAAACGCAACATCGGGCAATGCGTTGCTCACAGAACGGCACAATGAACAGCGAAGCGTCGCAACATCGTATATCGTCTGTGTCCCCGAAATAATCTAGAATTAGGTCACACCCCCAAGCATTCCAATGATTTATCAATGAAACAACACGCAGGGCGTAACCGAATTTAAACGTCACGGTTACCGTGAACAGCACCCTTTTAGTTAATGTTTCTCAAACGAATTGGGATCTATGCCCCTCTTAATACAACCACCCAAACTCTCAACGTATCACATGTGTTTGTTTCAGTCAGCGGTTTTCAAACGTTAAGATTGAAAGCCCCTTGACAAATTAATCCTTAACTCTCCACACATAGTTCAGCTAGTTGCGTATCCTTTACAGGAAGTTGCAGAACAAACCCCGGCATGTTTTGGTTGTTGTGGTTTTTCTGAGCATATTTACGTCCAGTAGTTTGCCATAGCCAACTGCACGGTCGGCTCACGGTACTACTCTCGACACCAACGCAAAGCGGTCTGCTGGGAAATCGCCTGCAGCTGGGACCGAACCCGGTACACAGGCATTACGAAGCGCGCTCGCAACGCCTAAGCCACAGACGCTTAACCCCATACGTAATGTATAATAATTACTTTTATTTCTTTTATTTTAAGAAATTGATTCTCATAACACAATAACAATTCCTGCCTAGAGTGTGAATATTTCTATCTCATGTATAGGTTTTTTTTTTTTTAGCTAAATTTAAAATGTGTCTATACCGAATATGAACTGTTTTCTACCTCCTCAGTTACAAACTTTCTACCTCCTCAGTTACAAACTTTCTACCTCCTCAGTTACAAACTTTCTACCTCCTCAGTTACAAACTTTCTACCTCCTCAGTTACAAACTTTCTACCTCCTCAGTTACAAAACTTTCTACCTCCTCAGTTACAAACTTTCTACCTCCTCAGTTACAAACTTTCTACCTCCTCAGTTACAAACTTTCTACCTCCTCAGTTACAAACTTTCTACCTCCTCAGTTACAAACTTTCTACCTCCTCAGTTACAAACTTTCTACCTCCTCAGTTACAAACTTTCTACATAAAGTTCGAGCTATTTCTAAATCACGTCTAAAAACAAACAAACTAGTGCGGTTTGTTTTTCTTTGTTTTCTTCTTGACGTTCACACACTTTAAACTCAGATGGAAAGTTCTGGTTGTTGATTCACTCCTGACATTGGTATTGTTCCAGAAAGTAAGTTTTCTTTGCGTGCACATCTGTTTTACACATCTTGTTTGTTTGTGTGCAGACTGCTGGTTCCAACTATGTCTCACAGGCAGATACACACCTAATTATTCGCCTGTTACGGCATGCTTTTTAGGGAAGAAGTGAGCCTATTCTTTCTCCTCCCCCACCCACGCCCTCACTTCGATGAGGTACGTAGGGTAAAAAAAGGGGGAAGAAGACGATGATGATGAAAAAAAGGGGGGGGGGGAGTGGGGACCGGGAAAGCATACCACTGAAGAGACAAACCATGTCTAATGGTCATCTGATGAGACAAGTCGCTATAGAAAATTCTGACATATTGGAAGATCGATCAGCTGTAAAACAGGCAGGGGCAGACCAAGAAACATGATCCTGGTTGGTCTAAGGCAGGGAGATTTCATTGGCGGCCCGCTGGCCAAATCTGGCCCACGGAGGCCTAGCAAGTGGCCCGCGGATCACTGCCAGTTGTATTGGTTTAATGATCTTGCTATGCCGGGGCTCAAGCCTCTGGTCCTTGACGATCTCCATTCTCCAAATTGTAGCCCCTGATAAACTTGGTTGAATAGCCCTGGTCTAAGCCGACGACATTGTTTTTCGTCTGCTTTAGTCCATGAAATGGCGGTTGGCGCCCTGTGTTGTGGTTTATAGATAGGCTGCGATATCTGCCCCTCTAAGCCCAACACATCTGATTTCAGCAAACCCTAAATTAGTCGCCTTTTACGACATGCTTGTTAGTGAGTATTATGTCTATTCTGTCCCCCAACATATGTGGGTGCTGGGACCCATACATTGAGATATAAACTAATATCGTCAGTTTCCTGTGTGGGTTTCTGGTCCACATCGTGAAAGATTTTAAAAAAAATATTGCCCCTGAACAAGCATGTCGCAAGAGTCGACTAAGGGATTTTTCTTTCGAAGTCGGAGTCTATCTGCCTGAGAGGGGGGGGGGGGGGGAAGGGGGGGGGGGGAACCAACAGTCTGTATGCAAAAAAGCCAGATCTGTAAAACCAATTTGCAGGCAAAACTCAGACTCTGGAACAAGACCAGTGTCCAGAAGGCAGGAACAACCGAAACTTTCCGCCAGAGTTGTCAGTCAAATTTAGAAGTTGACCACCAGTTGAAAAAAAAAATTGTGATAATGGTGGTATTGGAGATGATGATGATGGTGATAATGATGACTGTCAGATTATGATGAGGAAGATGTTGATGATGTTGATGATGATGATGATGATGATGTGGTGATGATGTTGATAATGAATATTTTGAGATGATGATGATGACTATGATGATGATGACGGCGATAACGACGATGAACGATGATGATGGCTGTAATGATGATGACTGTGATGATGATGATGATGATGATGACTGTGATGATGATAATGACTGTGATGATGATGATGATGACTGTGATGATGATGATGATGATGGCTGTAAAGATGATGACTGTGATGATGATGATGATGATAATGATGATGATGATAATGATGATGATGATGATGACTGTGATGATGAAGATGATGATAATGATGACTGTGATGATGATGATGACTGTGATGATGATGACGGTGATGATGATGACTGTGATGATGATGATGATGACTGTGATGATGATGATGATGACTGTGATGATGATGATGATGACTGTGGTGATGATGATGATGATGACTGTGATAATGACTGTGATGATGACTGTGATGATGATGATGATGACTGTGATGATGATGATGATGACTGTGATGATGATGATAATGATGACTGTGATGATGATGATGATGATGATGACTGGGATGATGATGATGACTGTGATGATGACTGTGATGATGATGATGATGATGACTGTGATGATGATGATGACGATGATGACTGTGATGATGATGATGATGATGACTGTGATGATGATGATGATGATGATGACTGTGATGATGATGATGACTGTGATGATGACTGTGATGATGATGATGATGACTGTGATGATGATGATGATAATTATGACTGTGATGATGATGATAATGATGACTGTGATGATGATGATGATGATGACTGTGATGATAATGATGAATGTGATGATGATGATGATGATAACTGTGATGATGATGATGACTGTGATAATGATGATGACTGTGATGATGATAACTGTGATGATGATGATGATGATGACTGTGATGATGATGATGATGATGATGATGATGATGATGATGATGACTGTGATGATGATGATGATGATGATGATGACTATGGTGATGATGATAATGATAATGATGACTGTGATGATGATGATGATGACTGTGATGATGATGACGGTGATGATGATGACTGTGATGATGATGATGATGATGATGATGATGATGACTGTGATGATGATGATGATGACTGTGATGATGATGAGGATGATGATGATGACTGTGATGATGATGATGATGATGACTGTGATGATGACTGTGATGATGATGATGATGATGACTGTGATGATGATGATGACTGTGGTGATGATGATGATGATGATGACGATGATGATGATGATGATGATGATGATGATAACTGTGATGATGATGATGATAATAATGATTATGATGATGATGACTGTGATGATGATGTTGATGATGATGATGACTGTGATGATGATGATGATGATGATGATGATGATGATGATGATGATGATGATGATGACTGTGATGATGATGATGATGATATGATGATGACTGTGATGATGATGATATGATGATGACTGTGATGATGATGATGATGATGATGATGATGATGATGATGATGATGATGATGATAATGATAGTGATGACTGTGATGATGATGATGACTGTGATGATGATGATGATGATGATGATGATGATGATGATGATGATGATGATGATGATGATGATGATGATGATGATGATGATGATGATGATGATGATGATGATGACTGTGATGATGATGATGACTGTGATGTTGATGATCATGATGATAATGATGATGATGTTGATGATGATGGCTGTGATGATGATGATGACTGTGATGATGATGATGATGATGATGATGATGACTGTGATGATGATGATGATGATTATGACTGTGATGATGATGATGATGACTGTGATAATGATGATGATGATGATGATGATGATGATGATGATGATGATGATGATGATGATGATGATGATGATGATGATGATGATAATGATGATAATGATGATGATAATGATATGAGTACTGTGATAATGATAATGATGATGAGGACTGTGATAATGATAATTATGTTGAGGACTGTGATGATGATGGTGACTGTGATGATGATGATGATAATGACTGTGATAATGATGATGACTGTGATGATGATGATGATGATGATGACTGTGATGATGATGATGATAATGATAATGATGATGAGGACTGTGATCATGATGGTGACTGTGATGATGATGATGATGACTGTGATGATGATGATGACTGTGATGATGATGATGATGATGATGATGACTGTGATGATGATGATGATGATGATGATGACTGTGATGATGATGATGATGATGATGATGATGATGATGACTGTGATGATGATGATGATGATGACTGTGATGATGATGACTGTAATGATGATGATGATGAGGACTGTGATGATGCTGATAGTGACTGTAATGATGCTGATGATGATGATGATAATGTTGTTTAAAATACATTTAAAAAAGAAAATGACATTCAAAAATATGATCATTGTGTTCTCCAGTTTTCCCAAGCAGACGGTAACGGCGACGACGTCAAGCAGATCCGCGGATTAGGTACAGATGTGGCCATCATAAGCAGTATGGTCTTCCTGGCCCAGTTTCTGCTCTCGCTGACGATTGGCACTTTGGTGGTGGCAGTGGGCAGTCCAGTCATCATCATTTTCACCAGCTGCGTCCTTAGTTTCCTGGGCTCCCTGACAGCAAGCCAAGTGACGTACCTCGATTTGTAGAAAACCTAAAATTTAGATAAATAATTTCGTTAGTTGAGATGTTAGATTTAATTACTGCGAAATAGTTTTTTTCACAGTGGATAGTAGCTCCTATATGCTATCCACGAACTAAGCCTCCGAAAACACTAATCACCGTGTAAATATATTAACAATTTTTTGGTCCATTTTAAAAAGTAATAGAAATTCCCTAATATGCAAATAACATCAAATTTTTTTTGTTTTTGTAAAAACGTTTTTATTTTTATTTTCCGCTTCTTTGTTTTGTTGTTGCTAATTTGATAGCAAGTTAATGAAAATCTTATAAATGAGAGTGGGCTCTCTTGTCTCCTGGCGACCAGAATTGTTTCATTGACCATGATTCCCCTTCGCTCTTTGTCTCCAACCCTGGTGTTACACTCGGTCATACATGTATACCAATGTTTGTCCTTCTCTTGATGTTATTCTTCCTATTGTATCATGGTCTACCATTTGGCTGCCTACATTAAAGTTTTCCCCTTCAGTAGCATTTTATGGTAGTACAGTGTTGTTTTTATTCTCTCTCTCTCTCCCCCCCCCCCCCCCCAATATTTCTTCGACTGTGGGCTCTCCTCCGAACTTTTTACCCCGGCATTATGGCGGCCAAACAAATATCCTAACAAGGCCTTAGTCCTATGAAAATGCGGACTTCTCGGACTTCCTGTCGAGTGGCAAAACTAGGAACGGCTCCGTATAACGAAACAAATGCTCTAACAGGGTCTCAGAGACATGTTAATTGCGGACCTTTTTCTGTGACTATGCCTCATCGCCGACCGTATCCCCCCCCCCCCCCGATAGATGGCTGGGACTCACGAGCAGCAGCTACGGCATCTCCTGCAACTTGCACCAATTTATTTGCTCTTGAGTCCCAGGCATCTAGTTTAGCTCCCTATCAGCGCCACGCGTAGCGGCACAGGGATACTGTCGGAGTGAGTGTAACAACGTTTTGCCCATGCCGAACAGTTTGAGGACAACAACGACGCTAATCTGCGTCGGAGCGCGTGGTCTCCCCGCCATTTCGCTTTTATCGTCAGTAATGTTGCGTGTCTCAAAATTGTCAATAGTCGCTAGTATAGTCTGCTAGTATCGTTTGCAGAAACGCTCGAAAGTGTCAACCGTCGCTATTATCGTCTGCTACTATCGTCTGCAGTGTTGCGTCTCTTGAAATTGTCAGGTAATCCTAGTTTTGCCGCGATTAGTTCGTCGCCGGAAGTATTTTTAATAGGATTGAGGCCCTGTTAGGATATTTGTTTGGCCGCCTTAAAGTTCGGTGGAGATCCCGACTGTGATTTCATTTACATTAACAGTTGGCAAAACTCAATAGTATCCAAAACTGCACATGTCTCAGAGTACTATATCAGTAGTCAAGACATACACACAAAAAAACAAGTTAATCGTTTTCTACTTCCCGTATGGGTTCTGGGGCTTCTGTGAGGGCCGTCTAGTGCAGCAGATTTTCTCAGTAAGATGGAAGTCTTTGAAATGCTGCCTCTGATAGCTTTGCGCTATCAGATCAAAAGTTCTAATTGTATTTTGATTTTATACCTGACCTTTACAGTGCCGCCTGATGCGATCGGATCTCTATTATAATAGCACAACACGGCCCTGTTTGTGTGGGGATGGTGGCGGGGGTGAGCTGGAAGACCCACTGCCCCCGGAAGGAATGTAGTAAGTATCTACTAATTAGAGATGGGTTTTTTCGAAGACGGAATGTATCTACCTGAGAGGTGAAGAAATAAAAGTCTGCATACACATAGGCCAGATCAGTAAAACGGATGGGGATGAAAAACTCAGGTTCTGATCTACTTTCATAAGCTTCTTTCAAGCAATCGTTCTTAGTTACTCTGGTCGTCCAAGGTATTCGTAGCATTTGTCTCAGAAACCAAATCTCTGTTGCTTCCAAATTCTTCTTAATTAAATGTCTCATGCACTTTTGAATAAATTCAGACACAGCTGATCTTCCACACCATGATGTCAAACTGTCCAGAAGTGGGTAAGCAACAGAAACGTTCCGCACTGAGTTTTCAGATGGTGAACGCGAAGAAAAAGAAGGACACTCGTTTTCAAATGCGAAATTACACGTTGACTTCCGCTGGCAGAATCAGTACATCTTAAGATTATTTTACAACACGACAAAGACATGAAAATAAACATTCTCCTAAAAAACTAAAAATAAACGTCTCTTTTATTATAAAACTGTGTGTGGTCTGGTCTTTTGTATGAGCGTGAACGATGAATAGTGAGAAATAAAATAAAGTGAGGTACAGCGAAGACTTCATTTTTCCATCAAAACATCTTTAGAATATCGTGGTCAGAAAAGAATATAACGTTGAGATGTTTGGGTTTCAGGGTTCCATTCTGGAGAGCAAACAGAACAGCTGCTCACTAACAAGCATGTCGTGTAGGGCGAATAGTTAGGGGTTTCCTGCAAAGTCTGAGCTCATTTTCCCAGAAAGCAGGAAATCAACATTCTGCAAAAAAATAACACAGGTATGTAAAACTATTTCAAGCAAACGAAGGAAGAAGAAGATATATTTGTTACTTCATATTTAACTGTTTTCTTTTTAAATTTCTCCAATGATATCAATGGCATCTGCATAACTAAGTATTTTTGTAGTTTTTCCAATAGCACCTTTTTCTTTCATTACTACCACAGCATTGCTGTAAACAGGCGGACACAAGACAACTACATTATCAGGTAAATGAAAAAGGAAAAAGCCTGACGGAAACATATTTAAAGAAACCCGGCCTCTAATGTCGGTTGGGAATACCATGTCATGACAAAATAATTAGAGGAAATTGAAAGATATAAAAAGACAGACCCCTGTGAAGTTATAACCGTGTGAAACAGTAGCCAGACCCTCGCTACCGTTTTTATACATACATGCTTGAATACATCTATTGCCCTGTGCATGCTTGCAACGTACATGAAACTTTTGAAATGCCGTTTATTGTAGTTGGGCGCGATGCAGTTAGGCATATCTGCATCTCACACGTATGTATCGGTGTATGCGTCTGTATTGTAAGTCTGTGAGCTGTTAGTTCGGATGAAAACCAGCTGGAGGACTCAACTGAGAAGTACCGATTCTAAGCCAGTGAATGCTTCCCAGATAAGGCTTACAAAGTTATAGAACAAACGTAACGAAATGTCGGGTTATTTGTGTTTTTTAACTCTGTGAGTTGTGGGTTAAGATGGTAATGGGGGAGGGTGCGAGGGTGTGGGGGAGGGTGTGGTGGGGGGGGGGTGACAAAATATTAGAGACCTAATGATTCAAAGGCAGAGAATTCTTCTTAGATCCGGTTTACGAAACAACAGTCGCAAGTAAAGCACCGTTTGTTCATTTATACGCTGTTCATTTGCAGACATGTGACCACATTATGTAACAGAATCAGATGATAGCAAATGTGCGAAATTTGTATCAAAGAAAAGATGCAAGTACATCAATGTATAAACTGTTCAATTCTGAGATTGATTGGCACACAAAAAAATTTTTGTTTAAATAATTACCTTTACGGATAGCTGAGTGAATTACGAAAGACAGTGACCTTTATACTCGAGACACCATTGCAGATAAAAATAATCTATTTCAAGCAAACGAAAGAAGGAGAAGAAGAAGATATATTTGTTACTTCATATTTAACTGTTTTCATTTTAAATTTCTCCAATGATATCAATGGCATCTGCATAACTAAGTATTTTTGTAGTTTTTCCAATAGCACCTTTTTCTTTCATTAATACCACAGCATTGCTGTAAACAGGCGGACACAAGACAACTACATTATCAGGTAAATGAAAAAGGAAAAAGCCTGACGGAAACATATTTAAAGAAACCCGGCCTCTAATGTCGGTTGGGAATACCATGTCATGACAAAATAATTAGAGGAAATTGAAAGATATAAAAAGACAGACCCCTGTGAAGTTATAACCGTGTGAAACAGTAGCCAGACCCTCGCTACCGTTTTTATACATACATGCTTGAATACATCTATTGCCCTGTGCATGCTTGCAACGTACATGAAACTTTTGAAATGCCGTTTATTGTAGTTGGGCGCGATGCAGTTAGGCATATCTGCATCTCACACGTATGTATCGGTGTATGCGTCTGTATTGTAAGTCTGTGAGCTGTTGTTGGTTGGGATGAAAACCAGCTGGAGGACTCACCTGAGAAGTACCGATTCTAAGCCAGTGAATGCTTCCCAGATAAGGCTTACAAAGTAATAGAACAAACGTAACGAAATGTCGGGTTATTTGTGTTTTTTAACTCTATGAGTTGTGGGTTAAGATGGTAATGGGGGAGGGTGCGAGGGTGTGGGGGAGGGTGTGGTGGTGGGGGGTGACAAAATATTAGGGACCTAATGATTCAAAGGCAGAGAATTCTTCCTAGATCCGGTTTACGTAACAATAGTCGCAAGTAAAGCACCGTATGTTCATTGATACACTGTTCATTTGCAGACATGTGACCACATTATGTAATAGAATCAGATGATAGCAAATGTACGAAATTTGTATCAAAGAAAAGATGCAAGTACATCAATGTATAAACTGTTCAATTCTGAGATTGATTGGCACACAAAAAAATTTTTGTTTAAATAATTACCTTTACGGATAGCTGAGTGAATTACGAAAGACAGTGACCTTTATACTCGAGACACCATTGCAGATAAAAATAATCTATTTCAAGCAAACGAAAGAAGGAGAAGAAGAAGATATATTTGTTACTTCATATTTAACTGTTTTCATTTTAAATTTCTCCAATGATATCAATGGCATCTGCATAACTAAGTATTTTTGTAGTTTTTCCAATAGCACCTTTTTCTTTCATTAATACCACAGCATTGCTGTAAACAGGCGGACACAAGACAACTACATTATCAGGTGAATGAAAAAGGAAAAAGCCTGACGGAAACATATTTAAAGAAACCCGGCCTCTAATGTCGGTTGGGAATACCATGTCATGACAAAATAATTAGAGGAAATTGAAAGA